AATGATTGTCCCAAATATTTGAGGTATCAATAATGATGATCAGAATAGTTTATTAGTAGTTCATGCCTATGGAGAGAGCATTCTTTTGTGATAATTCATTTTACCCAAAAAGCTTTAATTTTTTATTCTCTTTTCTCATTTATATTTATGCAATGCTATTTTATTCAATCTTATTTATTTTTCATAAGCTTATACATAATAATATACAATTTCTCAAGTTATAGTTGCTACCTCGATGCTATCATGTATTCTTAAAAGATAAATTTGATGATTTGGTTCTTTTGATTTTTAACATTTAATATGTTAATTGGTTCTTAGATGTTTTCATCATGATTACTTCATATCATATCGGCATAAAAAGAATGCGCCACAAATATGAGAAATTGTTTTGTTCAGCTTTGTGCTTTTTAGAGATCTATAATAAATTATGGTTTAATAATTAAATAATTGTAATAGATATTTGAGTTTAGTTCGACTCATAAAGTAGTTATGTTCGATTTGGAGATATTAGCAACAACAACAACAAGCTTTTATCCCACTAAGTGAGGTCGGCTATGTGAATGCCTTTTCTCCCTTGTGTCCTATTGAGTGTCATATTTTCATTTAATTTAAAAAAATTAAGATAATTTTTCATACAATATGCGCAATTCTTTTTAGGTCTACATCTAGCTTTCTTAACATAAGACGAATCTAAACATCTATTCTCCTAATTGGATTATCAGATAGTCGGCGTTTAATGTGACCAAACCATCTAAGCCGGCTCTCTCTAATCCTGCCTGCCACTGGAGCTATGTCAACATTTTCACGGATACATTTATTTCACATTTTCTCTTAGTGTCAAGCCACTTATCCACCTAAGCATTCTCATCTCAGCAACACTTAACTTAGTTTTATGATTCTCTTTTAAAGACCAACATTTTTTTGCGTCATAAAGCATTGCAAGTCTCACCACCATCTTATAAAATTTTCCTTTAAACCTAAGCAGTACCTTTCTATCACACAATAGGTCTGATGCATCTTCCTCTTCAACCAACCGACTTGAATTCTACTAATAACATCCCCATGTATATCACCATCCCTTTGAACAATAGACCCGAGATATCAAAAACGTTCACACTTTTAATGATTTGATCACCCATATTCACAACTCTGTCACTAGCTCTTTTACTGCGAAAATTACTTTCCACTATTTAGAGATATTAGTGTATTAATAAAAAAAAGAATTTAGCCTTTCTTAATCTGAATTGGAAGTCATTAATCTATTGCATAACAATGGGATTGCATCAATAGTACTTTCACAAAATCTTTGCCTTTTCTTCTCCGTCTCTTTCGTCATCTCGCCAAAAAAGATTTGATACCCTCTTCTCGTCTTCATTCCAATCTCTTGCTAAAATGTCATCGTAAGCACAGAACCATTACTTTCACTATATCTCCACCCACCATCTAAGTCTCAATAGATCTTTTATTGCATCATGCAAATCCACGCATGCACATCTCGCCATTCTCAACCCCGCTTAACTCATTCAGATCTCGCCATACCCAACATTCTTATTGCTAGATCTTTCATTCGACATCTCTACGCCAAATCAAACATTCACATAGCTCAGATATCACAACCCACTGCTCTCGCAAAACTCTTTTTGTCATCTCACCACCTCCGATCCTCAACAAATCTACGCTCACCTAGCCTCCAAGCCATAGTTTATCCATTCTTGCTTTTCAAGCCCAAATTCGGCTGTCAATTTCTAGTTTCCAGCCACATTTGTTTGACATTGAGGGAAAGGTCGTTTTGAAAGTATGGGTTGCGGTAGGTGTTTATGATAGATTATGGGGTAATAGTTAAATAATTATGATAGTTGAGTTGAGTTTGGGTAATAAGAGAATATGTGCTCATTGAGTCTTTGGATATCCTAATTTTCTTATAAATAGTCTCTTTTTGAAGATGTTAGGGCATGAATAAAAGAAGTTGAGCCTCTCCCAATTTGAGTTTAATTTCTTTCTCTTATCGGCCCAATTTTTTAAGTCGCCAACGAACTAAAATCATGGTTTATGCTTCACCCATTAGTATTGATACGTTCTAAAAAATTATCTTATTCAAGCATGAATTTCGATGAACATTGAGACCGAGAGCTCCAAATATTACATATACTCTCAATTGACCTGTCTTAATAAGATAAGTCATCTAATATTAAACATGGTTCAATCTGAGTCCAAATGAACCTAGATCATGCACTTAAAGCATAGTAAGAAGATTTGAGATATATTTTGGGAGACCAAATGATCTCCAAATTTAACAAGTTTACAGTTAAATTAAGGGTCTCGACAAGACGAATATAACGAGCTCAATATCACTTAATTTTAAGATCATTAAGACATTTAAATAATAAAATATCATCCGATCAAATGAATCATTCTAGGTTGTTCGATGGAGTGATTCAAATTCATAAATTATTTATGTGGGATGCTACTTACAAAATTTATAAATTGACCCTTACTCGAGGGGTTAGACCTGTAGGAGAAAGCTGAAGGAGCTCCAAGCTCTTGAGGGTTCTCAAGCTCCACCACCATCAACCAACACTATCACCACCGTCGAACCACTGTTGTCGGGTCACCACCGTCACCATCGTCGGGCATTCGATGTTAGGTCACCACCATCAGACCACTTGTGGCCACCACCAAAACTACCACTGCATGCCTAATCACAACCGACATCACCACCAGGCCACCATCCCATCGCACCTGAATCGCCACTGTCTGCTCGCCGCCTCCGCTTGACTACCACTGCCAAGCCGCCACCGTCACTGCTTGGACCACCATCATCACCTCCGAACCACCACTGTCTGCTCGCAAACACCGCTAGACTACCACGACCAAGCCACCACAATCACTGCTTGGACCATCATCGTCGGTTCATTGCCACTGTCAGAACTTCGCTGCCCAATAACTATCATCCCCACCGTTGGACCATCGTCGTCGGGTCATTTTTATCGTTAGACTACTTCTACCTAGTCACCACGATCGCCACAATCAAAACACGACTATTTGGCTGCCGCACAGTCGAACATCATTTTTATTCTGCCACCGTCGTCGCCACCGGACCAATGTTGTTCGGTTGTCGTTTGGCCACCACCGTTTTACCACTTGACCACCATCATCTGACCAAAGCCACAACAGGACCACCATTGCTCGACCACCACTATCGCCCCAGCATAACCACCACCATCTAGCCGCCAACACCACCAGAATACTGTTTTCTGGCCACCGCCGTCACTGTTGTCAAACTACCATTGTCAGTTCACCGCCCTGGCTAGAACTCCGCAGCCAGACCACGATCGCCGCCCCCGCCGAACCACAGTCATCTTACTACTGCTACCGACGATGCCGACATCAAATTTTCTGGTACACAGCCTCTATTATCGATCATCCTTCACCAAATTCAAGTTGTCGCCACTTCTGCAATGTATTATGCCACTCTCCTGGCGGAATTCACGTCAATAACCCTCATTTATGTAACATTATTTTCGGGTATTCTAGGATCGGTAAAGTCTTATAACTTATATCGACATAGTGGAATCATTTCAACTGAGCTAAACCCCATGATTTTTATCCTTTGGGATTTTTCACGTAAAAAATTTCCGGTATCCCTTCTATCAAATTCTTCTTTTATCTATGTATGTATTTGATCTTTGTGCAAGATTAGGACGTTATATATCACTAAACTGTCACAAATTTACCTGCACACAACAAGTGTGTTCGCATCAATGCTTTTTTCCCTAAGTGTTGGATTGTGTTAAATATTATAATTTATCTTAACATATTCATTGATGTAAAATGGTTGGGGTTAATTTGACTGCTGTATAAGCAGAGCATTTGAACGTAGGAATTGTGGTTTTCCTTTCAACTGCTAATTTAGTATTTTTGACTTTGTAGGTAATCAAGCCAAGTCATTGGTTTTAAATATCATGTCCTTAACAGAGATTGGTTGAGAAAACCTTTTATTTTTTAAGCTTTTTGCTCATCGATGTTTTTTTAATGATACATGTAATTCATGAAATTTGAGACTGCTATTTAACTTGAACTTTTAAACCCATATATTGAATTCAAGAGATTGTTTTAGATATAATTTGAGTCAAGAGACTAAATTTGGCACATTCAATTGTTAGACTATAAAGGCTCTCCATAAATTATCCAGGGGAATATATATAACCTCTTCTTTTTATCATTTCTAATGTTATTCTTTCTACATTTTTCATAGATCCATATCATCATTGTCAATTATTTACCCTCAACTTGTCTATCAACCTCTTCTTTATTGTTTAACACTCATCCATATAATATAATTTCATTTTAATTTTATGAAATTTATCTTTAGATTTTCTTTTAATTTCTTAGATATCATTCTTTAAAAACTCAGCTTTTTTATATAACATTTCATCTCCATCCTTCCTAGCTTTATCAGTTTAGAATTCTCTTTTCTTTTCTACTTTCAACTTCGCTGTCAAGCTCTTCTTTTTTGCTTAGTGCTCATTCATATAAAATAATTTTGTTGCAAACTTTAAAGTTTATCTTTATTTCTATTTAATATTCTCTTATTGCATAGTATTCTAAAGATTGCTAAAACCTACCACCTTCAGGAATCACTTCGTCTTATAGTAAGATATATTGATAATTTTCATTTTCATGCCGACCGAAGCTTTATACATTAACTTAATCTTTCTTTTACTATGCTACTTTATCTTTCTAAGTTTTTCTGCATTATTCCAAATCAATCATACCCTCATGAACATCTATAGCAAATTTTTTAATTCTTGAAACTTGCTCACATTAGAGTATCTCTAATTTTGACCCATTTAGACATTTTGATTTATTGTTTTTTTGGTTGCCATCAAGCTAATCCAAGTGACTAATTTTTTGTGACGCCTATTTTATAATTTATTTACATTTTACTACATAAACATGTTCATTTGTTGCAACTTCAAATTGCAATATGGATCATGCAGATATGCATCAGCACCCCAGAAACTTAGAACTGATTGGGATGGGTTCACCAAAGATTATTTTTTGAAGAGGGAGACATTGGTGTCTGTATTTCTTCTTATAGATGCCAGTATTCCTCCAAAGAAAATTGATCTTGAATATGCCAGTTGGCTCAGTCAGAATCAGGTATGCATTTTGGTTTGTTCCATTTCATAATCTTTTTTTTTTCATTTATGACATTTTGGTAAGGATGAACTCTTAATGCGAATTGGAGACTTCCTAAATTTGCAAATATAAAATAGGAAGATATACATTCTTAGTTCTAACATCTAAACTCCAATTTTTACACATACAATCTTGCCTATGCATGAGAAGGCAAAGTAGTGGTACATTTTTATGTGATATGAAAGAACTAAGGGATATAAATGTAAAAAGTGAAGTTTAGGTGTTTGATATGTAAATACATAATCATTTAGTGGTGGTATGTGTGTAATGGCCCCTACAACATAATGTCATGTTCTTGTAAGCCCATAAGATAATTGTTGATTGGTTCCATGAACTTTTTGGCTTTATCTCTTGCAAAATTTACATGATGTCTTTGGAGCAGATTCCGATGACTCTCATTTTCACAAAGTGTGACAAACGCAAGAAGAAGAAAAATGGTGGGAAGATGGCAGAGGAGAATGCTGGAGCTTTTCTCAGCTTAATCGCCGAATACTTCGAGGCTGCGCCAGCTTGGATTATGGCGAGCAGTGTGACGAATATGGGTCGAGACGAGATCCTTCTTCACATTGCCCAGCTCAGGAATTACTGGCTCAAACACTGAACAACAACCTCTCTGCATTTATTTGTGAGTCTCACCTAATTTTTCAGCAATGTTAATAGATAGGAAGATTTACATACGTACCACTCAATTCCTATGTATTTACATATCTAACTCCTAAACTTCACTTCTTACCTATGCATGAAAGTTGTATTTCACTTTTTAAAAGTTAAAATGATGGTATTTTTTGTATGGTATAATTGTAAAAATTAAAGTGTAGATGTTAGATATGTATATAGATAGGAATTGGGTGGTATGTATAAATGTTCCTAATAAATATTGCGGAGATGCTCATGACTATTTTATATTATCAAAATTAATATCAATTCAGTCGATAGCCTCTTCTTCTCGCCAATCAAGTAAAGCATCTGATATAGAAACATATGGATCATGAAAGATTTGCATACGTACCACTCAAGTTCTAGAGAAATTATTTCATACGGACAACGCATGCGCTGTCCTATCTCGGCTGTCGATCACAGCTTTTTTGTTTCTCTTTTATTTTTAAAAATGAGGTCCAGCAAATTACAGTTTTACTGCAATCGACGGTCGAGATCAGACAGCGCATGCATCTCTGATGGAATAATTTTTCCAAGTTTTATGACTTTTGCAGTCTAAAACCTAAACTTTATTTTTTTTGCATTTATCACCTTATCTATGCATGAAAAGTTGTGTTGTAATTTCCAAAAAGTTAAAAATAAAAATATTTTTTTATGTGATTTAAAAGATATAGGTGGTATAGATATAAAAATGTAAAATTTAGGTGCTACATATGGAATGTATGTTGATTCCCCTTGGAACTTTTCGAAATTATAATTAAAAAAAAATGAAGATGCCCCCATGTCATGTATGACTTTTTAATTTCTTTTTTAATACAGCAATAATATATTAATTTCAATAATATATATATATATATATATATGCCACCACCGTTTTTATATATATATATATATATGCTAAACATTATAATATAGATGTCATTACTATAAACTAAGAGGGGCATGACAATTGTTGTAATGGCCTTTTCACGGATGAGTTGGGTCAAATAGCATAAATATATTGTGCATGATGTTTTCCAAGGTGTTAGATATGTAAATATATAAAAAATTAAATATTATAAATTATTTTTTTATGTGATTTGAAAGATTCGGGTATAAATGTTTAGAACAAAGTTTATGTAATTAACAAGTCGGTGGCAGCTCAAAATATGGGTGTAAATGTGTTTCGCTCGTTTATATGTTTGTTTTGTTTGAAGTTGGCTCGTGTTTGAAATAGCTCGCGAATAGTCTGTTCGTGTTTGACTCGAAAATATATTTATGTTCGTTTTAGCTCGTGTTCGGCTTGACAAAATATTGTTGTTGGCTTTCAGCTCGTGTTCGGCTTGAATTGACTTGTTTGAATTAATTAGAATAATAAACATAAAGTGGTGGATTCAAACATACACTATTTTCATCCAATGAATGATACAAAAAATGCACGATCACATGAGTTAGTGCTAATTTAAACATCTATACATGTTCATTTTAACTTAAAGTTGAACATGATCTAACAAAGGTTTATTTGTGTTCTGCTCATTTATAATTTAATTTTAGAAAAAATTTGCGTTCAAGTCATTTGTTATATATATATAT